GAGAGACAATTTGAAGAGAAAGCGGCCAGAGCCCAAGTGGTGGAAGAGCAACGAGAAATGACATGGAAAAAACTGGCGGATGCAGCAGCACAGAGAGGGGAAGACGATATGGTTACAGTGTAACAGATGAATCAGAATTGATCTGTCGATGATTGGATGCTGATATGATGGCATTGCTGTTGTTCCCTTCTCCATGTTGATTGCATCTTTCTTCTCATTTTTCAATTTCTTTTTAAACTCAAGATGATCATTGAGGATAACTGAGAATGAGCAGCGCCAAATGTAATTTAAAATGTACTGAATTGGTTAGTAAAACACTGTCAAGCTATTTGTTCATCCAACACGAAAATTATTAGAAATTTTCATTTTTCGACAGCACTAGTTGAATTGTTCATTCTTTCTAGGATTAAAAGATGCTGCAGATAACAATGGTATTTAGTATCCTTCATTAATTGAGTTCATTTTTACTAATTCAAACACTTGCACTTGATACTCAAGTTAATTCCAGCAATCAGCCATGTCGGAAAGAAATAAAGATGTCTATGCAAATTATGAGCAACATCCACGGCCTTGATGAGCCCTATCCTCTGGTTTCTGTTTCAATGACCCTCTTCCCTACAGCAGACCCTTCCACAAAACTTGGAGATGCACATCGTATATGTATATCACATATGAAGTAAGATTGCTCGAGTTTTTAAGGATACAGGTAAAGACGAAGAAAGATGAAAATTACGAGATTTATACTGCTTGGCTTGTCTCTACCAAAGCTAGTTGGACAAACCTATAATCATTCAAGACCCAAAGCTAGTTGGACGAACCTACTCTTTCTGCAACAGAAACTTTGTGGGATTGGAAATTGATGGGTGACTTGATTATTGTTTTCTAAATCATAATGCCAAAATTAAATTTTAATTATAATTGAGGGAACAAATGAGATACTATCCATAAATTTAGAATGTCAACTAACCACATAATGACCATTTTGTAATCGGGTCATTTTATAACTTCATAAAGTTTAGTGACTAAAAAGATCATTTCGACATAATTCAATGACTATTTGTATACTTTACCCAAAAACTTATGACAATTTTCCTTAATCGGCATATAAACTAATATAAAGTTTAAAATAGTTTATTTTAATCTGAAAAAATGAAATTAATGTAGTTCTCATGGGCTCATCATGAAAGTTATTGTAATTGATACCTACAAAATGTTACATTCATAAATATCCCTCATCTATAATATAAATGAGATTGTAGTCGAGATTACGAACCATGTTATTTTCTCCCCTAATTTTATTGGAATAACTTCTTCTCCATTTCCAAGCACAATGGGAATAACCAAAGCACAGGTATCATAGAGTTTGGCTACTGCAACTGCCCTAATATCGATAGCATCGGCCGCTTAATACCGGTGTATAAGTTTCTTGTATGCCTCCTTGTTCCTTGAATAGTATTCAATCTCCGCCAGTATATATGTCGGCATTGCCATTGGCATACGCATCAGTGTATGCATTAAATTTTCTCTAAAAAAAGTAACCTTCTAGTTCCAATGGCTAGAACTTACCTGAGAGGAGAAATATGATTAAAAACGTTACCTTTGACATGAAATTTAACTCAAACGATTGGCAAAACAGTCCTCCCATAATCATCTATGCATTCTCATTTTAACCATTTGGTTTTAAGTAGGATATTTTAGCCTTGCACGGGCAAGTTTTCTTCATTCTTAAATCCACAAGTCTTTCCAATGTGTATATATTTATCTCCCAATATCGAAAACCAATAGGCATAAAGTGCAGGGATGCAACAGCATCGCTCAAAATAAGAAAAGGGAATTCAACTTACTTGGGGACAAAAGTTGCCAACAGCCCATGTTTATTTGCAACAGCTCGAACAGCTTCACGTGCAAAAATCAATTTGTTGGCAGCATAAGTACAAGCAGAGTGCCCCAGAGCCAATTCAACTGACCATTTCCAGCTTCTGCATGCAACTGCAGATTTTAAAAGCTAAAGTAAGTGGATAGAAGCAGGTAAATATCGAACTTGCAATTACGAAGAAGCACAATGTAGCATACATGGGACCTGAAAAGGAAAGGAGAAAAAATGGTTGCTGTCGCTACCGAGAGTTAAATAGGAACCAACAAATATCGATGTCAAGCATTTATGACTTCTAATCCGTACCTGCTCAACAGGGACATCGAAGGAATTGAGAGCTGCAATAATTTCTTTAAATAAAGTGGAGACAGCATCAAATGCAGAGGAGGAGCAGTAAAGTGACAAGTCAAACAAAATTTCATTAAACGTGTGGAGCCTAAGGTTGCTAAGGCAAAAAGGAACAAACCAGCATAAATCACTACCTTTCGAGCTTTTTCAAGAGAAAGAATTCGCTTTCGAATCCTGCATTCATTACCTGTGCATATAACATTCATTAGTTAATCATGAAATAGCCCTCAATATGAGAAGTATCACAGACCACACGACGTACCAAGTTGCACTCATCTTTTAGAACTTTTGAAACCCTTCGTAATGCTTCTCTAGGGCAGTACTCCCATGGTTCACCAGGTCTAAGGTGCATGTCAGCCAAAACCATCTCCTCTTTTTTTTTTTCCTGTAAAGGAAGTGAGCATCACATTATTTGACGTGTAGCAGTCATGAACACAGTGATGTTCATACGATCCATCGATGATCATACAGCATAGTAGGATATCGAAATGATATAAATGCATGTAAAACACGTCGAGGAGTTAAATACGACATATACAAATATTTCAGTGTGAAATACGGTACCATGGAATTTCCCTCATAGTCAATAGAACAGGCATAAGCCTGATCTCACCCGTCACTGTCAGATTAGTCCCGGCAGATGGAGCATCAGTACCAGAACTCATAGCCATACATGCAAAAGTCAAACCAACACCATTTTTCTTCACAACATCATCAAAGCGTTTCTTTCAACCTGAAATGTTACAACTAAAATTTACTTTATCCTTTCGAGCATGAATAACGTTAAATTTAGGGAGAAACAGCATTCTTTTTCCTTCCATTTTCCTCGTTTCTAAGATACCGAAAAAGGAAATTCCATAAAATTCTGTCTTCCATTGAGTTGTGCAGATGAACTTAATCAAAGAATAACTTCTAGTAAGAAGAAGAAACCTTACACGGCATCTATGTTGTCCAGAAGTATCAACCCACATAATACGAACAAGGGAAACACTATCTTCTCAAACATTTGTCCCTATCATGTAACTGCTGGGAGATTCACTAGCCTTTGAACCAAAAGGTTTCCTGCCTACATCAATCTTGTATAACTGAATTGCGTTCCGAGCAAAGATTTCCTTGGATGCTTCAATAGCTTCAGCGATCCAAAGATCCTGGTAAATGCATGTGTCACGTAGAACAAAAAAGACAACCTCACGAGCTCTTTTGGCACCTGAAAGAGGAATAAGTCAAGCATATAGAATACACTTCAAGCAAGCTATGGAAATCTAAAACTTGAAGAAGCAATTACTTTCTAAAACTTGAGATTATTGGCTTGAAAAGCATAGCTGCATACCGCAGCGGTTTAGAAATCAACCCATATGTCACCAAAGAAGATGCTGAGGCTGGTCTTTCTGAAGTTTTACAAAGTGAGTGGTTTCTTTAACTCAATGTTACGGTTGCAAATGAGATTATTGGCTTGAAAAGCATAGCTGCATACCGCAGCGGTTTAGAAATCAACCCATATGTTATTAAAAAAAAGTGCATATTCTTTACTTCTGTAGGTAAAAGTATCTAATTCTATTGTAAAAGTAAAATATCATTTCCAAAAGGCACATTTAAACTTTTCCCAGAAAATGTCAAGAAAAATTAACTTTTCTAGTACTGTTTCCAAAATTAGCACCAAAAGTAACCCTTCCATGACTCCATCAGTGCATCTCTCATACAAATAACTGAAAAATGCATTAAAGAACCTGAATATTGTTTGAAAATAATCCAAAACAAATTAGAAAAAAACAGTAATCAAACAGCTCCCTTTGAAGTTAGCAGTTTTTTCACCCTCGTATAAAAAAGACAACAAAAAGAGATCATTTATAATAATATGAAGAAGAAGAAGAGACAGGTGGAATTGCCTTGAAAGAGAGGGAGTGAGGAGCAAAGGATAAGGCATGGCCAGTTGCTTCAGAGAGTGAATTGATGAAGAAAATAAAAAATCCAAAGGAACAATATTTTGAGCATGAGAATCCTCCAACTCTATCTGCTCTATGGCTTCTCTCAGTTCTGCAAATTCCATTCTTTTCTTTCCGTTTTGGAAAGTAAGTTCCACGGGAAAAGGTAATGAGACGGCCACGGTAATTACACTGCGAGTTCCATGTAAAAGGGTACACTAATCAAACCAGCAAACCTCTAAAGATTTGATACAAAAGCAAGACTAGCACGATAAACATGCATGCCCTATGTCTCTGACGTCATCGTCCACCTCGAGTTGTTACTTGTTAGACAAGTAATAAACGAAACAAGGAACAGCAGTCCCACTGTAGTCCGAGTGGACTTACTGAAATAATCGAAGATTAAGTTTTGTAGATTAGGGATTGAGATTAAGATATAAAGATTTTTTTTTTAATTTTGAATCGTGCATGAAAAAATATCGATAAAATATGTCATGCCACGAAAAATATTAATTAAATAAGTTATGTCATCCTAGAGTGATTAAAAGAAGAGTAATCGAAAGTTGAATGATTAATTTAAAATCTTTAAAATTTTAGTGACCAAAATATGAGTAAGAAGATAGTTGAATAATGAATAAATATAATTTACCCCTTACTGAAATAAATGTACTTACCAACTAAGGTAGATCAAAATTAAGTTGAGATAATCCAGAAAGACAGCCTCACACTCGTATGTTTATGGGACAAAATTTTGCTTCGTTATAGTATGACCATATATGAACTTCGTGTATGTATTATATAAGAAATGCTTCTCTACTCCACAATCACGAGCAAAAAGCAAAGCGACCCAAATTACCATGTCTTCCAAATCCTCTGAGCTCCACTTCGTTTTAATACCCTTGTTTTTCCCAGGCCACCAAATACCAATGGTGGACATGGGGAGGGTACTGGCTCAACATGGTGTCACCGTCACCATCGTCACCACACCTCTTAATGCTATCAGGTTCAGGACCATCATCGAAAACGATATAGCTTCCGGTAGCCAAATCCGACTTCTCCAACTTCGATTTCCATGCACCGAGGCCAGCTTGCCCGAACGCTGCGAGAACATAGACGCTCTCCCATCACGTCTCCTGGCCAGAAACTTTATGGATGCCATCGGCATGTTGCGGCAGCCAATTGAGCAGTTCATGGTAGAGACGAAACCGAAACCGATCTGCATCATATCAGATAGAAATCTCCCATGGACGTTCGACATGGCTCAAAAGTTTGATATCCCGAGGCTTGCTTTCGACGGCACGAGCTGTTTCACCGTCCTTTGCTCGCACTTCATCAACCTTTCGAAGATTCACGAGACAGTTTCCAACGATCGAGAGCCGTTCGTGGTGCCCGGTTTACCGGATAGGATCGAACTAACGAAATCGCAACTGCCTGAGGAGTTCAATCCAGGACCATTAGCTTCCAAACACTTGAACGAACACAAGAGAGTTGCAGACATGGGATCATACGGTTTGGTGGTTAATTCATTTGAAGAATTGGAAGCAAAATACGTTGAATCCTATAAAAAGGCAAGAGGTAACAAGATATGGTGTATTGGGTCATTGTCAAATTGCAACAAAGGGAAACCAGACATGGCACGGAGAGGAAACGACGTTGTTTCAGTCGATGAAACCCAATGCTTGCAATGGCTTGACCCATGGCCGGAAAACTCAGTAGTGTATGCTTGCCTTGGAACACTAAGTTGTGTTGAACCAATACAACTTGTTGAATTAGCCATTGCCTTAGAATCATCAAAGAGGCCATTCATATGGGTCCTAAGAGAAGGATACAAATCAAACGAGTTTAAGAAATGGCTGTACCAAGAAAATTTTGAAGAGAGAATCAGAGGAAAAGGACTTTTAATCCATGGATGGGCACCACAACTTTCGATATTATCTCATAAAGCAATTGGAGGTTTTTTGACACATTGCGGGTGGAATTCGGTGCTCGAAGGGATATCGGCCGGTTTGCCGATGATAACGTGGCCGTTGTTGGCCGAACAGTTCTTCAATGAAAAGCTTGTGGCTTCTGTGTTGGGAATCGGGGAAAAGGTGGGTTCGGAGATTGCAATGAAATGGGGAGAGGAAGAAAAGCATGGGGTAATGGTGATGAAGGAACAGATTGTGGGGGCCATTGACAAGGTCATGGACGGGGAAATGATGAGGAAAAGAGGAATGGAGTTTGGGGAGTTGGCTAGTAAGGCATTTGGAAACAATGGATCATCTTATCTTAACGTCAAGCGATTAATCCAAGATATTAAACAAATCAGTGGGAAGAAATTAGGAGAGGCATAACATTTTTCCTTTCATCAAATTCAAACAAATTTACTATTTCTCGTATTCAACACAGATGAATGTGAGCTTCAATAAATTTTTAAATTGCTACCGGTTAGGCTTAACTAATTTTAGTATCATTCACCAATTCGACGGAAAAAATCAAAGCATTCAAAAATTGAAGTTTAAAGTCTAAATGTATTAGGTTATAATTTTTTACTAATAAATACCGTCCAAACAATTAATTTACTAAAATTTATTAAATACTAATTAAATTATTTTTACATTTTTCTATTTCTAATAAACTTTATTAACTTTAAAAATTACTAGTGATAGAATTACAGTCTAACTAAAGTAACTCAACCCAAAGCCGTATTCGAATAACAAGCCTGAAAAGTAACTGTCCCTTCTATGACTCCATAAGTGCATCTATCATACGAATAACCGAAAAATGCATTAAAGAACTTGAATATTGTTTGAAAATAATCCAAAACAAATTAGGAAAAAAAAAACAGTAATCAAACAGCTCCCTTTGAAGTTAACAGTGTGTTCACCCTTGTTTAAAAAGGACAACAAAAAGAGATGATTTATAAAAAATATGAAGAGGAGACAGGGAGGAATTGCCACGGTAATTACACTGCAAATTCCATGTAAATGGGTACACTAATCAAACCAGCAAACCTCTAAAGATTTGATACAAAAGCAAGACTAGCACGATAAACATGCATGCCCTATGTCTCTGACGTCATCGTCCACCTCGAGTTGTTAGACAAGTAATAAACGAAACAAGGAACAGCAGTCCCACTGTAGTCCGAATGGACTTACTGAAATAATCCGAGAAATCAAATACGAACCTAATAACCACTTAAATCTATTCACTATTCAATCAAATTCAAGTCTTGTCTCTGCCTGTTTTCGTTAATAGTTGGACAAAAAAAAATTAACAGCATTTCACATTGGAACTCCTTCCAGCTCTTCACAAATGGAGCTCACTTCTTGTTCTTTGACCTTGAACTGGCAGACAACAACACATTTATGTACATCTATATCTATGTCCATGCACGAATCAAATAAAAAAGAAATGCATAGATTCACCTCATTCGGCTTCAAAACATAGCTCTCCCTTACGCCGCTCTGTCATATAACTCTTCCGGCTCCGTATTAATAAAATCTTGACAGGGAGGAACTTCCTTTTGTAGCATTGAAGTTCCTTGGAATATCACCATCTGGCACCAGGATCTTTTATATTCCCTAAGCTGAAGCACGAGAAAGACGTTTCAGAAAACATGGCAACTAAGTTGGACAATACAATATAAGCACAAATTACGTTGTATTGACAAACCTGGTCCAGTCCTAATTTCTTGAAGCCGAATTTATCTATCCAGATTGATTCCGCTTCTTCGGCAGCCGGAAGCAATATGTTTTTGACGTTCAAGAATGCGAGCAGCTTCTCAATACAAGTGAACAGTAACTGGAAGTAGCCCTACAAGGTAATTTAACTCCACTGAATCAAGAATCAAAGATTCATCGAAGTATATATATTATGAGCTCAAAACTAATAATTTTCTTCAACGACAAGGGTAGGAAAATCAACTCCAAAGGAATAGGCAAGAAGGATATTCTTCAGTTTATTTGGTGAGGCAGGCAACAATTCATATTAGAGAGAGAGAGAGGAGAAAACGGAAGACAATTGAAACACAATAGGAAATCCAGTCGACTAGAGCATTGTAAAAAAGGCGGGTATTGCAGGCAAAGTTTATAAAGAAAAAGGTTGGGACCATTAGCCTCACCTTCCCTCGGTTAGCAATGCTTGTAGCAACTAAGGGGAGTTCTGCAATTTCTTTCCCAAAAACTCGAATTATTCCAGCAGATACAACAAATGAGCTGAAGCATTAGCGAAAAAAGAGTATTGTCATTATTCAACACAAGCATTTTAAGCTTTAAATGTTGTGCAAATGTGTCTTACTTGATTGTCAATACTGCACAGTATATTCCGCCAAATTCTTGACCCTTTAAATTCCTTCTGTGAGAGAGAGGAAAAGACAAAAGGATCAACTTTGTCAAGATAACGGCTAGCAAATTCATGTCCATATGCAACCAGATTTTGTCAAGCAAAAACAAAGGTACTCATGCTTACCCATAAACCATGCATGGTATAAGGTCCCGCCCAGTTGTTGCATCAACTATAGGGTTGAAACATTCCTTGAGAAATAAAGAAATTAAGGAAAAAATCAATAAATTTTCGGTGAAATGGATTATAGCCTATAACTTAGTTAGATACGAAATTAAAGTCCCACAAGTGCAAAACTATATTGGACTAGAAAAATCATAATTTGAAATAAAACATGCAAATCAAAGCTGCAATTTGACAAATTTGTCATTTTGATCTTTTGCCAGAGGGGAAAAAATGCATCCATTTATAATCCTTTTGGCTTAAATGAACTTATAAAAGTAAATTTATAGTATCAGTTTCTTGTCCTATGTATACCATTAACGTGTTACAAGCTCCACTATGAAGATAATAATGCAAAAGCAAGTTAACAGTTCAACGCCTCCAAATTTTAGTGATGATAGAACAACAAAATAAACAGCTAATCTCAAGGATAAGAAAAAAACTAGGAAATTAAGAGATTACATAAACTCGATATTTGCCTTCCCAGTCCCACTGTTAACAGAAGGTGGGGGGTGGGGGGACTAAAAGAAAGAAAAAAGAGGAAAGAATGAGGGCAAGAAGCATAAAGGATAGTTACAGTGCTATTGATGCTTCAATCCAGAAAGTATTTCCAAATAAGTACTTGAAATAAGAATACAACAAATGCAAAGAAAATCAGAGCCATTGCATGGTCACACCACTCATCAACAACGAAAACAACAATAGGTCAAAAACTAAAACATCTAAATAAAACATGAACAAAACTTACATGGAAGATGCCAACAGCTTGAGAAAGCAACAATCTAGTTTCAGGGGAAGCAAATTTGCCACTAAGAAGTCTCCATCTCACGTCAATATCGATATCAGCACCAAAACCTTTTTCTACATGCTTCTTCTTTATAACATCCAGAAAAGAATCTGGAAGCTTTTCTGACCCACAAGTAAGCAACTTCTGCAGTGTAGAATGGATCCTACTGCAATCAGAGGTGCAAAACCACTTCCCTCTTGGTATTTCCTGTTGAACCAACAGACCTCGGTATCTTCATCCATTAACAGAATAATGCAACTAACCGATAGAAACAAAGAGATCCATATGGAATATTTAAAGGAACAACAACAAAAATAATACATACATACCCTTAGATCGGCCATTTTATGAGTCCTCAAACAGCCAATATGATATTCTTTCTCACACTGATCCATAATGATTAAAAGTAAAGGGGGGAAAAAAGGACGTGCAAATCAGTGGACACACAATCAAAAAAGAAACAAGTTCAGCAGAGATGTAAACAATGTACAAAACAGGATGAAATGAAACATTAACATTTTACCTGATCACACAGTAAAATTGTTCGAGGACCAAATCCTGATTTGCTAAAATCACATGCCCTAGATAACATAAATCAAAGAGAACAATATCAAGCCAAATCAAAGGGTATCGACTATCGAGTACAAAACTAAAGAAATTTATAGAAATATCACAGTGAACACTGCATAAGAATAATCTTCAAGAACTATAAGTTTCAAATCAGATTCATCTTAGTGACTAAGTGAGGTCTCCTCACCTGCATAAAGCACATCCACTAAGCTCTGCCTCAATGTTTTTTACAATTCGTATGCATCTGCTGGTTATTTGCTCTATAGCATCAACTCCTAAAATCCTTCCAGCAGCAACAGCATTTGCATTATGCTCCACACACTTTTCTCTCACAAACATATTCTGGCAATATTTGCAGTACCAGCGACCATGAATTGTTGGTAGAGATGCACATTCTGCGTAGATCAATAAAACAACTCAATATCAATCAGGTAATTCAGAGCTAACACAACCATCTTCGTTCAAGATTAAGAAAAAAGAGACTGAATCACAGTAAGTAGAAGAATGGAAAGATAAACCTGAAACCAAGTTTTGAATTTCTTAAAATTCAAAAAAAAAAAGTCCAGGAAAAATAAATATAAAAACAAAATGCCAGTAAATACACATAATAATGTGACAGAGAGACCAGTAGATTAAAAAAAAATCTAGGCCAATATGCAATGCCATTGATTGAGTAAAGCTACAGTATCCAAAACAAACTTTACAGTCATGCCACAGACAAACAAATATAACCTTACAGTACGCGACCCCAACACAGTGGTTGGGGGGAGAACATAAACACACTCACGAAGTAAAGCTTTGTAACAAAGAAAACAAGATCGAACCATGCATCTCAGCATTTCTGATTCAAAGTAAAAAGAAATTCTACATATTTACAATTGAACCTTTATGGAAGGCCCTTGGGCATCCATCACAAAGCAAAAGATTCCCACCATCTGCACAAATGAAGCATGCATCATCATTATCCTCGGCAGAATAATGTCGACCTTTTGAGAGAGATATTGCCAATTCATGGAGAGACACCCCATTAGATGTGTATATGTATGCATAGCTGCCAAAAAGCATAAATATAATCAACATATACCTAACATAGGAAAGAAGCTCAAAAGCATCTGATACAAAAAACATACGGTTTTCTACGAGAAGCCCAACCAGCATGAGCTTCAAATTGTGAGGGGCTAACCTGCACGAGAAATGGAAACATCCTAAACAAGATGCACAAAGAAACTTTGAAATTCTGAAGTTCAAGCATTAAGAGCACAATACCTCACAATTGCAACAACAACAAATTATCCCACAGCCCTTTTTGTAGCCCTCAAGCAATCTCTGTCCGTTAAAATTAATCACACTTTATGCACCACTCAGTTACCAAGGCACAAAATAGATTACTTTTATATCAAATACCTGTCCACGGGCATAGTATGCAACTTCAGTTCCATCAGGCAGTCCATTTTCCTCAAATATCAACTTATGCAATCGCTGATCTCTAAAAAATATACAAAAATCCAAGAAGAAAAAGAAATTACATAAAGAAAGGAAAAGAAAAGGCTTAGTCTAAAAGGTACCAACTTTGTTGTCATCTTCCATTGACTTCCATTGGGTGAATAACTTGGCGAAGAGGCACCTTTGAAGGTCTTTGGCGTCAAAACCAGGTTCACTGACCTAAGAAATTCAAATAAAAGAAGAAAAAAAAGTAAAAGGAAATAAGCATGAAGAAAATACCAAAGACACTGAGGAAAAGCTTCAGTGAAACAGTTCCATGTGTCATAAAACTTAGCAGGAATACGAAGTAAAACAGAAGTCAGAAACATATGCCATGACAAAATGAAAAAAGCAAAAGAATAAAACAAAGGTAACTGACTTCTTTTTTATTTTCCTTTGACCCTTATCTTGTGAGGGAATATGAACCGATTCAATTGAAGCACCCTTCAAGGACTTTGTGAATAACCCTGGTTTTGTTGACCTGGATAAAACAAAGGTGGAAGCATGATCTACCAAGTACCAACTACAGTAAAAAAGGGGCACTATTTGAAGTTTAAACTAGCACCGCACCATCATAGATCTTCACATTAGATTATTTTTATTCCCATGAAAGGGGAAAAAACAGGTTAAAGACAGAATTATGCAACAGTAAACAACAACAGTAGTAAGACATGATGAATCACCAACTTTCTTGATGTCTTCCATGGACTTCTATTTTTTGAAGAAGTAGATAATGAAGAAGAAGAACACTCTGGTGAACTAGAAGTCAGATCAAGCTCTGATGACCTGAAACATCGTAGATAGAGGAACAAGAAAAAATATCAGTAATTCATATCATCTTGTAGCAAAAATGACGGCACCAAAAAAAAAGAAAGAAAAAAGGAAGAAGATAATTAAGAGAAACTAACTTGCTTTCTTTCTTCCATTGTCTTCTATTTTGTGGAAAGACAGACAATGATGCACTTCCAAAGGGCCGTGACATCAAAACAGGTTCTTGTGATCTGAAATAACACAAAAATAGCACATATAAAATAAGACATGTATCTAGGCAAATACTAGAAACTCAACGAAAACTATAAACGAACATCACACAAGCATTTCCTTACAACTTTATCATGTTTAATTTTATATCGTAGTTCAGTTATATATGCTCCAACAGAAAACCGAATAAAATGAATCTATGTAGAGTGCGTTTGCTGAATAATATCAATCAAGTAAATTTAACATGTTTATTTTTTACTATGCATCAATCAGTTATCTGAATGGACATTGAAAACCCTATCAATACCATACACAGAATCACAGTTTTCAATCTACCACCGTCAAGGGGCATTACATTACATGATAATTAATTGTAATAAATGCTAGGTTACCAAGGAGAGATGGTGCAAATTGCAAACGGTTTAGATAACCCAGTCTTAAAACTACAAATACAGACACAAAACAGTGCAGTTGTCGAGCTAAAAGAAAATTCAACTAATGACAAACATTAAGATGATCCCTACCAACTAAACTCTATTGCAGAAGAGACATCAATTACTAATTTTTTACTAGTAATGCTTACATGAAAGCATACCTAGCTCGTGCACTGGGTGCACTCTTTGAGCTGCACTGAGATTTCTTTGACTCTACACATGAATTGCAGAGTGGCCCAATTTTGCCAACATGTATAGCAGGAAATGAACCTGGAAACAAGAGAACGGAAAAAGAATAAGATCCCAATACAATCAAAATCATTCTTGTTACTTGCCTCTGTCACTACTAATGAATTAACAAGAAAAAAAAAAGCCACCTGTGCATCTTCTACAAGTGAAATACTTTTGCTCAGGTAAAGCGCTAAGGATATTTTGAATTGTTGCTTCTAGCATGTGCAGTGGTCTTCTCCTGCATGCCCTCAACACTTCAAGCAGGCTCTTCCCATTTTCAAAGCAGATATACTGTGCTGCACGTTTGTATTGTTTACAAGCATGAATCTCGAATTGGGAAGGTGGAACAACCTAAAATGAGAAACAAAGTGGCAGAAAGAAATTCAATAACAGCAATTATAACTTCATGGAGATACATGTCCAACACTGCAACTTAGGAAAGGAACTCCTTACTCTGCGTCCCTTGCACAAGGAACAAGAACACAAAATTCCTCCATCTGTAATGATGCCCCGAAGACCAGCTGTCTGAAATTAACATATAACTAATATCATGCCTTAAATTGTTTACCACATATAAATTTCAAAGTAAAAGAACTAAGAAAAGAAAACACATATTAAAAAATAAAAATAACTTCAGAGCAAAGAGTCACCTTACTACTAATTGTACCCATATAAACTACTGGAATCCCATCAAGCAAACCAGTGTCAAAGATCTCTTTAACTGTCATTGGACACCTATTAAGAGCAATTCTTTTTGATATTTTAAACTCCAAATCGTTCCTTGAAGTCGTCAAGCCACTATCTTCAGTTGCTTCATCTCCACCAAAATTTGATACTAACACAGTTTCAACAGACTGCTGTTGGCCCTGCAAACCATCTATTGCTTCAATCTTTGGTTTCAATAATGATCGTTTAGGCCGCTTCAGGGTCTTCAAGAGTAAATCATCATTATCAGTATTGTCAACAATCTGCATTGAAGATCCTTTGGAACCTCCTTTCTCAACACGGCATTTCTTAAGCTCCTTCATCGATTCCCCTTTAGACATGACCATTCCTAAATTACCACCAGGCACGTTACAAAGCCAAGATTGAACAACAGGCCCGCCATCACTTCCAATTTTCTGAACTATAAGGTTACCTACAATAGCATTTTCTCCAATAATACGGCTCTCTTCAATCAAGGCCTCTACAAGTGGACCCCCTTCAACAAAATCTCGATCAACTAAGCCCTTATCAATAACATTATCTTCCACTACATTTTCCTTTCCCGTTCTAACTCCAATCACACCTTCAATTACATTATTCTTCACCTCACTTGCTTCTTTCAAAGCTCTATTCTTCTGATCCTCTTCAACTAAACACTCTTTAACACCATTCATCGGCTTATTGAAGTCCTTGAGCTTTATGTTTCCTAAGTTATCCGAAAACTCATCACGGCCATTACTTCTAGACTTTTTAACTCGAGTGTAAACAATGTAACCATTCACTTGAGTACCTTTAACTCTTTTACAACTAATAGCAGAACTGTCCTGAGTTTGAATCTGAATCACTGAGTCCCGAGTTGGAAGGAGTGAAACCTCCAATCCGTAATCCAACTCCCGCTTCATGCCTCACTTCACTCTCGAAGTTCACTTAGATTCTGCTAGAAAACAAAATTAATTGAAAATTAAAAAAATAAAAACCAAGAAAATTTGGAGAAATTAAGCAGCAATGGAGTGAAGGATTTTACCAAATATGCTCAGATAAAAGCATGGAAGGTTGATTTTGAGTGAGGAGTTGAAGATCGGATTCGAAGAGATATATGGCTTTCGATTTAGTCCTCGAGAATTTAGAAGAGAAATTGAAATATTTGTGCGTTCTTTTTTTCGGGGTTGTCGTTGGGAGATGAAACCGACCAGCTAGAGAGAGAGAGGGTAAACTGAGATGGGGTTTTCTACTTTTCTTGTGAAAGGGGGAGGGGGTGGAGGAGGAAAATGCCCAGATCCGTAAATAATACAAAGTTGGAAAGGTCTCGTGTATTGCCCATTTTAGCCCTATTTGCTTTCCAAGTTTACAATGTAGCCCTTGCTTGATTTCAAAGGAGTGTTTAGTTTGTGTTTGTTAAGGCCTGGTAGGCCCACCGTACTGTTTTTCCTATTTGGCAAAATAAATCCATCCGAATTAAACTAAAAATATATATATTATTTTATATACATTAATTTATATGAGCATACAGAAACATTATATATAAACTATATATTTTTTTAAAATTATTTAATAAATAGTTACATATGGAATGATAAAGAATACATGTATGTTATTAACGTATCTTACTTTCTGTATATGTTTATGGGCATTTTAATTTTTTATAGTACTTTTTACAAGCTAAGTTTGATTCCAGTAATTTTGTATATTAGAGAGAGAAATAAATAACTATTTGATTATGTTATTAATAGTTTATTTTGTTTTAACTCTATATATACAAATATTTTCTTTCAAATATATATATATAAATAATAAAGAAGTAAATATTTTCGTATTCAGTGAATAGCTATGTATGGTAATGTGTTGGCAAAAACTTCAACGATCATATATGGCTTTCTGCTTACCAATTTTTAATTAGAGATGATAATGGGTGAATGCTGGATAATTTATTGTGTTTTTTTATTTTTAATTTCAACTTAATTTTTGTATCTCTTTTCTAAAGTTAATTTTAAAAATTAAATTAAACTTGAAAAAATAAAGAATGCTAAGCCCAAAATATTAATATTTGTATATTATATTAAATTTTACATTATTAATTGTAAAATTAAAACAAATGTATTATTGTAAAATGTTGAGGCCTATGGTTAAACACGCAACCCAGAAGTTTTAACGAAAATGCGGCCTGCCCCGAATTCAAATTTCGAACCAAAAAGTATTGGATTATTGACGCAAGGAAACTGCTATGCAAACGTAAAAGTGACCCCCCAAAATGTGTCGTGTTTCACAACTTCCAAAATTATAAAGTGTGTTTTTAATGGGAGAATCATTATAAATAGGGTAACCTACACAAAGGGTCACTTTCGTTTCATTTTTCTAAACTTATAGTTATTAGATTCAAATAACTCAATACATAGTTGTCGTAACCGTTTTTCGGTTGGACCCCGGAATTGAGTTTCGACTTGAAAAATGTGGATTGGGAGTCGCCACCGATCATTTATTTAAAACAAATGGGTTGATCGGATACCCTATTTCTTACCTGATCTGCGTCTTTCCAAAGATGTGTCGGGTTCGGGAGTCGGTTACGGTCAAAGAAAGATTAGCGCCCTTGAACCGCCCCTTCGGTACTACGTAATTTCCAGTTGTCTTTTATTAAGAAAATTACAAGTTAAATTAAAAGGTAAAATTTGATCCGAATTACTTACCCTTAATGAGTTTACAGAAATACCCTTTAAAATAATATGTTAAAAGAAAATAATAATAATAAAAGAAAGTAACAAAACTAAAGAGTAAACCAATGAAATAAATGAAACCAATAATAATAAACATAAAATAATTGGATGAAACAAATATAAAAAATGAAATTGAATAAAATAAAATAAATGAAGAAAAAAAATATATAAAAAAAAGAATAAAAAAGGTAAAGTATTTAAAAAAAAAAAGAAAAATAATAATAAGAACAAAGAAACTAAAAACATAATGAAAATAAATAAATAGTATAAATAAAATAAAAAATAAAAAAATATATATAAAAATATAAAAATGTATGTATAATATAATAAAATATTAAATAGTAACAATAATAATAAATAAATGAAAAATAAATATACATATAATATTAACTAAAAAATAGTAATTATAGAAATATAAAATAAAATAAAGTAATAATATATATATATATAACGTTAAGAAAATATAGTAAACAAATATAGTAAATAAGTAAACATAGATAAAAAATAATATATATATATATATAATAATAGGAAAATAATATAATATAACGCAAATAAAAATGAAAAAATTATAATAAATAAATAAATAAAATATAATTATATATATATATACACATATAAATAATAAGGGTTAAATTAAAATAAAAAATGAATTAGGGGTCAAAACTAAAAGCCAATCGAAGAAAAAAAAACGACAAAACACGCGGATCCACACGACCCGTTTATAAAAATCCGAATAGTTTTTCAAAAACACAAGCCTCGGGGACTAGATCTACAAAAATAGATCTCGAAAATGCCCCCGTTCATCGACCAAAAACACTTCTCTCAGTTTTCTTTCGAATCAAAATACAACAAGGGTAAGGAAAAATAACATGCGAAGGTATGAACTTTACTTTTCAAAATATAAATGCTTAAAATAATGGCTACGAGTTGCTTGTAATTTTTTGCTTGGTATTTCGTATATCCTTCTCCGAATGTGTTACAATAGTGAATTATAATGACTATTTATAATGCTTGTGGATCCTATCTTTAGGAGTTTAAATAATAGTAGAACTCTATCCTATTTTTAGGAGTTTGAATCCTAACAAATTTCTATCCTATTTTTAGGAGTTTGAATCCTAGTAGGATGAAAAGGTGTGTTGACAGCTGCCCCTCTTTGCCCATAGTCGTGTAACGGGGATAGGGCAAAGATTAAAAGACACACTTTTCGTTCAGTGGAGTTGAAAATTGACTCTGATGTTTCAATAACTCCCTGTCGAATTGAGTTACGGATGACTCCTCCATCGTGAAGTCGAGTTCATCTTGAAATGATATGAAATTGAAGCTGTAGTTCGGAATTTGAATCAGCACGTGGCTTCTCGTTGCCCTTCGGTCTTCTTCTCGGTTTAAAGACCTTGGATCGGAATCGAACTAAAAAATATTCATTGACAGATAGTTTTTTCTTGACTTAAGCTATGCTGCTTGAAAATGATTGCTTGTCACTCAGACACGGCTAACCCAGGTCCTCTTCTCGACTTGAAAACCTCGACTGCAGCCGGAAAGTAGTGCGATTGACATGTCATCGAGCTGAATGGAATCGAACTCGACAATTTTGATGGCAGATAACCCTTCTAGCCTTGAGTTATGCTATAAATGATGTGCCTTGGAGCTGAGCGTAGTCGAACTCGAAGGTCTTTGTTGACAGATAATCTTTCTTTAAGTTGGATATCCCTCGTCGTGAAGTTGAAATCCAATCTAAAGATGGATGATGCTTGTTTGCACGATTCCTTTCATCGTGAAGTTGAAACCGCGGGTGGCCCCTTCGTCGTGAAGTTGAGCCTAGAATTGGATATCCTTCGTCGTGAAGTTGAAATCCAAGTAAGTAGCATTGTTCCGAGTCCAATATTCTCCGTTGTGAAGTTGAAATTGGCTCTGGAATCGAGAAATTGTTTGTTGACAACCAGTCATCCCTTCGTTGTGAAGTTGAACTTGTGTTGTCTCGAGTCCAATATCCTTTGTTGTGAAGTTGAAATTGGCTCCGAAATTGGGAAATTGTTTGTTGACAACCAGCGGTCCCTTCGTCGTGAAGTTGAACTTGCGTTGTCTCGAGTCCAATATCCTTCGCTGTGAAGTTGAAATTGGCTCTGAAATTGAGAAGTTGTTTGTTGACAACCAGCGGTCCCTTCGTCGTGAAGTTGAACTTGCGTTGTCTTGAGTCTAATATCCTTCGTTGTGAAGTTGAAATTGGCTCTGAAATTGGGAAATTGTTTATTGACAACCAGCGGTCCCTTCATCGTGAAGTTGAACTTGCGTTGTCTGGAGTCCAATATCATTCGTTGTGAAGTTGAAATTGGCTCCGAAATTGAGAAATTGTTTGTTGACAACCAGCGGTCCATTCGTCGTGAAGTTGAACTTGCGTTGTCTGGAGTCCAATATCTTTCGCTGTGAAGTTGAAATTGGCTCCGAAATTGGGAAATTGTTTGTTGACAACCAGCAGTCCCTTCGTCGTGAAGTTGAACTTGCGTTGTCTGGAGTCCAATATCCTTCATTGTGAAGTTGAAATTGGCTCTGAAATTGAGAAGTTGTTTGTTGACAACCAGCGGTCCCTTCGTCGTGAAGTTGAACTTGCATTGTCTGGAGACCAATATCCTTCGTTGTGAAGTTGAAATTGTCTCTGAAATTGGGAAGTTGTTTATTGACAACCAGCGGTCCCTTCATCATGAAGTTGAACTTGCGTTGTCTTGAGTCTAATATCCTTCGCTGTGAAGTTGAAATTGGCTCTGAAATTGGAAAATTTTTTATTGACAACCAGCGGTCCCTTTGTCGTGAAGTTGAACTTACGTTGTCTGGAGTCCAATATCCTTCGTTGTGAAGTTGAAATTGGCTCTGAAATTGAGAAGTTGTTTGTTGACAACCAGCGGTCCCTTCGTCGTGAAGTTGAACTTGCGTTGTCTGGAGTCCAATATCCTTCGATGTGAAGTTGAAATTGGCTCTAAAATTGGGAAGTTGTTTATTGACAACCAGTGGTACCTTCGTCGTGAAGTTTAACTTGCGTTGTCTCGAGTCCAATATTCTCCGTCGTGAAGTTGAAATTGGCTCTGGAATCGGGAAATTGTTTGTTGACAACCAGCGGTCCCTTCGTTGTGAAGTTGAACTTGTGTTGTCTCGAGTCCAATATCCTTTGTTGTGAAGTTGAAATTGGCTCCGAAATTGGGAAATTGTTTGTTGACAACCAGCGGTCCCTTTGTCGTGAAGTTGAACTTGCGTTGTCTCGAGTCCAATATCCTTCGCTGTGAAGTTGAAATTGGCTCTGAAATTGAGAAGTTGTTTGTTGACAACCAGCGGTCCCTTCGTCGTGAAATTGAAATTGCGTTGTCTGGAGTCCAATATCCTTCGTTGTGAAGTTGAAATTGGCTCCGAAATTGGGAAATTGTTTGTTGACAACCAGCGGTCCATTCGTCGTGAAGTTGAACTTGCGTTGTCTGTAGTCCAATATCTTTCGCTGTGAAGTTGAAATTGGCTCCGAAATTGGGAAATTGTTTGTTGACAACCAGCGGTCC